GATGTGTCTTTGTATAGGCCTCTTTGAGTTCATCTTTTTTGGGACTCTCTGCACTTCCTAAACTTGTGTATCTTTTCCCTTCACCAGGTCAGATAAGTTTTCAGCCATTATTTCTTAAAATAGGTTTTCAATCCTTTACTCTCTCTTCACCTCCTGGTATACCTATGATGCAGATGTTGTTATGCTTCATGTTGTCTTCAAGGTCTTTTAAATTATGTTCACTTAAAGAAATTATTTTTTCTTTTTGCTGGAATCATTGGATGTGTACTGCTACCTTTTCTACCAAATCACTCATTTGATCCTCTGCTTTATCCAATCTACTGTTTTTTTCTTCTAGTGTATTCTTCATTTCAGATATTTTATGCTTCATTCCTGACTGTTTTTTTTTATGGTCTCTGTCTTTCTTCATGCTGTTGAAGTTCTCACTAAGTTCCTTGAAGCTCTCATTAAATTTCTTGAGCATCTTTATAACCATATTTTTGAACTCTATACCAGATAAATTGCTTGCCCCCATTTCCTTTAATCTCTTCCTGGAGATTTCTTCTGTTCTTTAACTTGGGGCTTCTTTCTTTTTCTCCCTATTTTGGCTGCCTCTTTGTGTTTGTTTCTACATACTAGGTAGATCTACTGTGACTCCCAGCCTTGGTAGGTGGCCTTATGTGACAGGTGTTTTGTGGGACCCAGTGGTATAATCTTCTTGATCACCGGAGCTGGATGCTCCAGAAATATCTCTTGTGTGGTTTATGTGAGCCTCCTCTTATAACTGAGTGTTGTTTGCTATTGGCCTGTTTATGCATGAGGTTGGCTCTCTTGCTGGCTGACTGAGTGTCAACCCTGACTACAGTGTATGAGTTGCTGTGCAGATGCTGACCATGTGAAGCAGAATTCATCTGAGCAGGTTGTAGTGCCTGCCAAAACCTCTCTTTGGATACGTCACTTGTGAAGCTCATTGGATCTTTCTCTGATGTTGTCTGAAGCTGGCCTCTGGTGTGTTCGTTCTGGGGTCTCTCAGGAGGTACTCTGGTGCCACCCACTCTTAGATGCTTCTTGTGACTGGCCCTGAGCAACTTGTTTTGAGCTACAAAGAAATCCATATTTTGTGGTTACCTCTGCTGGGCCTTGGTATGTAGTGGGAGGATGAATCTATACACCAAGGCCAGCTTCCACCAGCACTGAACTCAGGGGTTGATCAGCAAAATGCCCAAAGCATCCCAAGATACACCTCTGCCTGCCTCCACCTGCTGGTTGTCTGTTAGACTCAGTCACTGAAACAACTTCTGGTAGTACTTGAATTGCATGAGGTAGATTCTTAGTGAGTCACCTGATAGGAACAAGATTGATACAGGTTCAAACTTGGTGCCAGTACTAGGTCTAAGGCTTTTTGGCAAAAGTTCCAGGGTATACCTAGTCCAGCTGCCCCTTGCCAGGTGCCCACAGACCTTTGTGTTGGGACTAGGTCTCAGAGAGTCAACAGGGTGAGGCCAGGAGAGTTTATCTAGCCCAAACAGACCAAGACTGTAGCCATGTGAAAGAAGTGTTCTGCACTGGTTGGTTAATGAGTGAAAAATGGCCCCTGTCCTAGAGCCACATAACTCAGTCTGTCCCCGATTCTGCTGGGAAACCAAGCCCAGCTGGGCAGGGCCGCCAGGAGTTAGGAGGGTATGGCTAATGGATCTCCCCCAAGGGGGAGACAACAGTCGGTTTCATGGGAAATGTGGGGAATGGCCTCTGGCCCTATAGCCACACAATATACTTACTGATACCCCCTGAGTCTACCTGGACTTCTATACCCCAGCCCAGGAAGCTGGCTTCTTAGCAGAGCATGAGGTATGAAGGGTGGGGCTACTGCATTCACCCAGCCTGATGCCATAAGGAGAGAATTCTTCACCTAAGAAAAATGGCATCTGTGGTGTGGGTGAGGGACTCAGCACAGCATTCTGGCAGCTGTCCCTTTTGCTCTATCCCCAGAGCCACAAACCGCAGTCTGTACAGACATGACTCTAGTCTGCTTTGCCTTATCTCCACTGGAGCCTAGTGTGCGTGGCTGCAAGTGAGATTTTGTGTATTGGGTCTATAAGAGTGTGCCTGTGTATCTAGCTATGCCAGTCTTTCCATTATGGATGAAACCCTCGCTGATTTTCACAGCCAGATTTTATGTGGGCCCCTCCTCCTGGCTCTGGTGCTCTTGCTTGTGGAGCCCATTGTTGGTTTGAGACCCCCATGCTTCTGAGGAGGAACCTCTGCTGCTGAGATATCCCTTGGAATCTCAGCCACCACCCATGGGGGTGGGACCAGCCCTTTTCTACTTTCTGCCCTTCCTACCAGTCTTGATGTGGATTCTGTAAATCCTTGGTTATAATACTTCCCTTCAGCTAATCTTCAGTTGGTTATTCAGGTTGACTGCTCTATATTTTAGTTGTAATTCCAGTTTGATCCTGGAAGGAGGTGAGTATAACTTTAACCTACTCTGCTATCATCTTACATCCACTATAAGTGTTTCAGATACTTCAGGATAAGGTTTATGATCTTTACTACCTTGAAATTATGAGTAATTACAGTTTCACTTCAGAGAAAATAAGAGGATACTCTGTTCATAGATAGACATGTTTATTAACATATCAAAAAATTTTAAGGTTTTGGATTACTTTTCAACATAATTGCTTTGTTTGTAAGTATGATTTTATTTTATGCATTTAAAAATTCTATTCTGAGAAGATTTCATAGGGCTTGCCAGAGTCCCAGAAATTTTATTACACAAACAAATTGAGAAACATGTTCTAGATGGTAAAGAATAAGTAGAGAACAATTAGATAAGGCCCCTGCTCCCAAGGAACTTACCTTTGACATGGGCAAAGAGGGATGTGACAAACAATAAGCAAGTAAAGAAATAATCAGCAGAATTTCTAGTAGTCATGTATGTTTATATATGTAATTTTTTTTTAAATGACAACAGGAAGCTGGACATGGAAGATCCAGGAGTAGAGAGCTCCTGGCAAAAGGAATAGACAGCATTTGACTTGGAGGTGTGGCAACCTTGGTGTGACCATGAAATAACCAGAAGGCCAATGTGGTCAGAGTTAAATAAGTGCTGAGATGTAGGTCAATCTAAGTGAGGATGAGAGTAAGAGAAATGAGAGAGACTACATCATGTAGAGCATGTAGGCTATCGTAATATGTTTCAGTTTTATTCTGATTGATCATTTGCTACTATCACCACCGTCTGTCCACACATTTTTCATCTTGCCAAAGTGAAACTCTGTATTCAATAAACAATAACTCCCTGTTCCTTCCATATACCAACATTGGAGATTTTTGCAAGGGTCAATGATACTATGTTTTACATCTGAAAATATGATGGTTGACTCCATGGAGAAATGCTGCTAGGTAAAAATAGAGGCACTAACAGAAAACTGGTTAAAAAATACCACAGATGAGAGATGATAGCAGAGGATGAATTCAAAATGTATTTTGGCAGTAAATCAGATGGGGTTTGCGGATGATCAGAACAGGTATAGAGAAAGATGTGGGTTTTTTTTGAGGCATATTAATCCTGAGCTGCTTATTAGAAATTCAAATAGTTGAGTGTACAAGTCCAGGACTGAAGATAGAGGCCAGTATACCTGTATATGTATTTAATATGTTTGGGAGTCATTGGCAAGTGGGTGGTATTTAAAGAAACAGGGTGTGCTTAGATGATCAAGGGAGATAATACAGATAAAGAAGAGATGCAGGAATAGTTTCTGGGGTCAAGCTGAGAAGAAGACTCTATGAATGCTCTAGCCAGTCTTAGAGAGCCGCGTGCTGTAGGAACCTGGATCTGGATTCGCAAAGGAGGCAAAGCTATGTATTCAAAATCTGATCACACGTAAGGTTTTAGCAGGTTGTGCTAGGTCTGGTTATGAGAGGGGCTATCCCACCCCATAAATTATGTCTAAACCTAGGACGTCTGAGATGGGGATGAAATTAGAGGGACACCTGTCAGGACTAAGGAGAAATTCTTAGTCATTTAAAGGGCTCCAACACTTTTTGTATTTAGATATACACTTCCTATAAGTGTAATTATTATAATACCTATTTAACTAAGGGAAGGGAAAGTAAATATTTTATTATAGACAATCTTTGAGTATATTTTGTTTTCCCCAAAATTAATGATGCTAAATGTATATATAAATTCTCTCTTTTATAAGATAGATTATTAAGTACATATTCTATCTCATAACTATTTGATTAATTGATCTTGAAAGGTTTAAGAAGTGGTCCAGCCCTGGCTGGTGTGGCTCAGTGGATTGAGTGCCGGCCTGTGAACCAAGGGATCACTGGTTCAATTCCCAGTCAGGGCACATGCTTGGGTTGCAGGCCAGGCCCCTAGTAGGGGATGCCCAAGAGGCAACCACACTGATGTTTGTCCCCCTCTTTTCCTCTCCCCTTCCCCTCTCTAAAGAAATAAATAAATAAAATCTTTTTTTTTAAAAAAGTAGTCTGAAAACAAGTGAAAAACTGTTACTTTTACGTATATATGACTTGTGTTGTTCAAGTAAATAATATCTAAGTGTTTTAAATTTAAGTCATCCTTCAGTATCTAAATATCATCTCTAAATGCTTTTTTAAAAAATAAATTTTACAACATTGGGCATCATATAACTTGAAAACGTCATGCTGTTCTTTTTTCCAGCTGGTCAACAGAGCCTGACCTCTGAGGCAGGATTCTAATTAATGAATTATGAAAATGTTGAATGTCATGTGTCTTGCCCTGTGATGCTCTTGGTTGTCTATGATTTATTAATTATTTAGAAACCTCTCCCCCTTTGTCCTAGAAAAGCATTCTGGTTGTTGCATGTGTTCCTGTTTGCCATAGTCAAGCATTTGGGAAATGGAAATAGGGAAGCAGTAGCTTCTTAGAAAAACTAGATGAATGGAACAGGAACTGCAAAATAAGCAAAAAGTAACAAGAACTGTTGATCTTGTACATTATTGCTCTTTATTTTTTTCTCCTTTGCTAGGAGACCTGTTATGATGATGTGCGTAGTGTTCACCACACTCCCCAGCTTCAGCTTTTCTATAGCAGTGACTGAGGTATGGAATTTTTATTTCCTTTGCTGAAATATTTTGAGTTTTAAAAATTTCTTATTAGACTGGCATACCCAACAAATTTTTTGAAATTTATTTTATCCAGTCTTCCAAATTGTGTGTATGTAATATATATTATAATATATGATACACACACATACACCTCCCAAGGTCATTGTTACCTCTGAGATTATGGAGGGATGCCTAGCAACCAATTTTTAAAAAAGAGTACTTCTGTGTTTGTGTGTGAGAGGCAGGAATGTTATTTCAAAATAATTTTTAAAAGCAAGGATTTACATTTGTTTCTTCTGACTTGATGTGTCTCATGATCATACTAAATTCTAAAGGAATAGAAGAATATTCCAGTGAAAAACCACTCACACTCTAAGACCTTTGATAATATATCCATTGACAAATAATTTTCACATGAAACTTATTTCAAAATACTTTATGTTCTGACTAAATGCAACTTCAAAAGGACTCTTAAGGGATGGATATCCGCAGGACAGGAATATTATAGGCATAACTTTCAGGCTGTAAGAATTTATTATCTAAGAAGTTCAAAGAAGAATGCCCTACTAATCTTAATTATTTGTAAGGTCTTGTGAAAGAATTTTCACTTTCTCAAGGTGCACAGCTTAAATTACTTTGTGATATTTCATTATAAGTTGAGCAGATATCATTAAGTGCATATTACATGCAAAACATTATGTTAAGTACTGAGGATAGACCACTCAGAACATTTGATAGTCTCTGATCTTCAGTAATTACTGATAGTAGAGAGAAAAATGGATGATTAAATTAAGTATAAATGTCATGAGAGAGCTGAGTACTGGGGTAATTTTTCACTGAAATGTAACACACAAGCAGAAAAGTGCACAGAACATAAATATACAATATTAATGGGATACCACAGAGCAAAGCCCTGTGTAAACACTACTCATGTCAGAAAATAGAGCTTTGCCAGCTGCCTAAAGGCCACTGCAATGTTCCTTGCAATACCTACCTCCTCCCCAACAGCAGCTCTCTCTTCACTTATAATACCACAGATTAGTCCATCTGTTTTTGAACCTCTTATAAAGGGAAATCAAATTTTTCTATCTATCTACCACCTATTTACCTATATATCTAATTTGTATCTGGCTTCTTTTATTCAAAAGTATAGTTCATTCATGTTTTTGTGTATAACTATAGTCCATTCATTTTCACTCTTATAAGAGGTTTTTAAATGAATATATCATAATCCATTGATCAGTTCTACTTCTAATAGCCAGTTCAGTTGTTTCCAGTTTTGACTATTATAAATGTTGCTGCTGTGAACATCCTTGCATTTGTCTCTTGGTGCACATGTGCAAGCATTTCATTTGGTTAGAGATGCAGGAGTAGAATTGATGGGTCATAGGATATTCAAATGTTCAATTGTAACAGATAAATCAGTTTTCCAAAGAGATTGTGGCAATTTAGACTTCAGGGAGCACAGAATGAGCATTTCTGTTTCTCCTCATCCTTACCAGCACTTGCTCTGCAAGTCTTTTTATTTTACCCATTCCGATGGGTATATCCTTGAATCTCATTGTAGTTTTAAGTTTCACTTTTCCAATAATTAATGAGATTGAGCATTTTTTCTTGCCCATTTTTTTTCTATTGTGTAACTCGTCTTTTTAAAATTCATTTGGAAAAATAGACTTCAAGCTCTTCATTGATTATATGTATTGCAAATATTTTCTGTGACTTAATACTCTTAGTGGCATATTTTGATAAAGAGATGTTCTTAATTTAAAAATAATCCAGTTTATCAGTTTTGTTCCTTTATGGATAGTGCTTTTGGTAACTAGTTTGAGAGGATTTTGTCATATCGTGAACCTGAATCTTGAGGTTCTAAAAATTTTCTCCTATATTATATTTTGGGTCCTATACTGTTTTGCCATTCTCTTTTAGATTTATAATTTTTCTGGAGCTAATTTTTGTACATATTATGCAATAGGGAAGCAAGTTCAATTTATTTTTCCAAACAACACCCAGTGGACTGCATGCCATTTATTAAAAAGCCCATTTTCCAACATCTCTCTGCAGTGCTACTTTTGTTATAAATCAGGTGTATATATACATGGTCTATTTCTGAGTTTTCTGTTCTGTTTCATTCTTTTCTACTCTTGTGCCAACAACACAATGACTCAATTCTTGTAGCATTATACTAGCTTGTTATATCCAGAAAAGTAAATCTTCATATCTTTTTCTTTTTCTTCTAGTGTCTTGCCCTTTGTATTTCCATATAGATTTTAGAATCAACTTGCCATTCTCCACAAAAACTTGGAATTTTGATTGAAGTTGCATTGAATGGTATCATTTTTTAATATCTCATTCTCTCTTTGTTATTGGTATGGAGAAATAATTCATCTATTTTGGAGGAATTTTCTTCATATACAATCATTAGCATATGAGTAATATTTTGTTTTTCTTTCTTGCCAATGCTTATATTGTTTATTTCTTTATCTTGTCTTATTACACTGGCTAGAACCTTTAGTGCAATGTTGAATAGAAATGGTCATGGTGGCACCTTTGTTTTGTCCCTTATCTCAGAGGGAAAAACTCTCAACATAGCACCATTAATATGATGCTTGCCAAAGGGTTTATTTATTTTTTTTGTAGATACCTTAATCAGATAAATAAAGTACCCCAAAGCCTAGCTGGGTTTACCTGTGTTCTCCCTTCTTGGAAGAGCCTAAACTCCAATACTTACTCCCTAACTCTTCAGAAGCTCTGCTTAGCAGCAGGTTTGGAAGGAATTGCACATTCCACTACTGTCAGGAGCCTGCTGTTATATTTTCACATACATTATCTTGAACTGAAAACTTTTCCATTGATATAAATCCTTATTACATCTTTAGAAATGGTTCAAACCTTTGTATGGTTGAATAGTTGAGAAACTGAAAACCAAGCTTTTAGTCCTTTAATAAATGTATATAGCACTGCTTTCAGATGATTAAAATAATTTCAAACAAAGAAAGCACAAAAATTTGATGTTTCTAAGTGGTTTTCTCAAAACAGGTTCAAAAGAATATTAATGATTCTGCTGCTGTCTTACCTGACACCTTGCCTGACCTGCCAGTCTCTCTGGTTCTGACTTCCTTAATCATGGTTGACATTATTGAAAAACTCAGGACATTTTCTCTTAGAGGGAGGCAAAAGAGTAAGTAATCTTTTAAATATAATTTTTTTAAAGTTTGATATACTGTTCACCTATCCGCCACCCTGTTATCCATAGACATGTTTAATGATAACTTCTTAGAGCTAATATTACTAATGCAAGATTATAAATGAGGATATCTAAATATAATTACTTTTAAATCTACTTTGATAGCTAGACAATTGTTCTTATTTCTAATTTGCATTTTGATAGTACAGATGAATAAAGTTACCAAATATTTAATACCAAAAATTTAATGTTTAACAAAAAATTATATAAGTAAAATATTATAGATTTGTACTTTTAGGAACTCTCTTAAAACCTTAAGTTTAGATGAACATATAAAGAGTTTAGTTTAGATACCTTTGATACAAGAATTAATATGAGTATTACAGTTATGTCCTAGAGAATTGCTTTTAATGTGGATTGTCAAAGAGCTAAAGATCACACTAAAAAACAAGATATACCACATTCCTCTAAAGAGTCAAAACTAAGTAAGTTTTGGCCTTTTATAAAAAAAAATTTTGTTAATTGAATATTTTGTTTGGTGAGCATTAAATTCCCTCAACTTTCATTTAATTTCATGTGATAATATCTGTGTTTAATTCACACTATTTATTGTTATTGCATGGCTAATATTTTGTATTGATATGAATGGGTTTTGTTTAATCACTTCGTGATCAGCTGTATGGGGTAAATGGAGTGAATCAGGAGAACACTTCTGAGTAATAGGCATGACTATTACAGCCAGGAAGCAAAAGATCAGAGAATCATTTTGTGGGTTATGAGCCACCATCCTTCCAGCCAGTAACTCTTGCTCCTCAAATTGAAAAGTATGACTGAATTGGAGGCTACCAGGAAATCTGAGACTCTGAGCTTCATATCTTGCACTTTGTCCTTTGGTGGGAAGTGATGAATGGTTATGTTTAACACAGCACATATGACACGTTAGATAAGATGGCAGTGAGTGGCCATCTGTTGAGGAAATGGTACTCCCAAGTCACATCTGCCCTTCAAAGTCAAATGTGATTTTTTAAACTGAGAAGGTTTGGGAACTGTCAAACCCTTTGCTATTTCTCTAGGCTCCTTAATGATATAAATGTACTTTGAGATTGCACTGTTTTTAATGATTCTGTATTTTCCATGGAAATGTGAACTTTTCTGTCCAAGTGTTTAGTGAAAGTTCTCTTTTAAAAACACATGCTTATATTTTGGAAAAGAAGTGATTGGCATTTTATATTTTAAATGATGAGTTGGATTTTCCCTATATCAGAAGTCTTAATGACACTGAGAACTGAAATAAGAAAACCCCCACAGAAAAAGTCAGCCTTAGGGGAGAGACTGTAGACAGCTTGTATAACTGCTTCTTCTTAGTTGAAGAGCCTCCTTGTGGTTCTCTTCTCTGTCCAGATTCAAGAGAGTTAATTCTGTTTTAATAGCTCCACCATTTAATAAAAATCACGCTTTAAAAACTACCAGTCTTTCCAGATACCTTTGTAAATATTAATTATTTGTGTAGCTAATTTTTATGCAAATTTTGAACTCAAATGGTCTCCAATACTTATTTTAACTAATAAAATAAATTTATTTTGAATCCATGGGAAATTTGTATTTATCTTCTGGAACTTCAATTAATACGTAAATGTATTAACATGTAAGTTGTAATACATAAATTTGAATAAGCAAGTAAACTGTAAATATTGTTTCACTGTATGCTTTTGAAGTACAGTTTTTTTTGTACTTCAAAATCAAAGAGGCAGGAGAAGGTGAGTGATGAATAAGTTTAAAATAATATAGCTCACTCTAGGCTTGTAGCAGTTTTGCCCTTATACTAAATGAAACTAAGGTAATCTACAATGCTTGGATGCTCTTGCACTCAATTTCAAGCTACCAAAGGTTGACCATCATATAGCTTTTCTTTTTCTAAGCTTTAAAATAAAAGTTATTCTTTATAGGGTATATGCTCATGCTTAAAGCAATCTTCACTGGACCAAGGAATCCCTTCTGCTTACTTGCTATAGCCAACTGAAATACCTGAGTATCAAGTGATTACTACACCATAACCTTTAAGGGCATCGTTGCTCGTAGCCCAAGCCTGACATGGGACTGTTTTCCGGTACATAAACCTCGGAGTCAGGCAGTGTTACAGATGTACATAGTCCTCAAATAATGTTTAGTTTAAAGTCGTAAAATTGGTTATATGTCATTTTGCTTAAAGTCACAGAACGATGATGTTAAGTGAGGACTGATGAAGTTTTTTGATGGAAAGCCCCAGTTCTGTGAAAAATAAATTAAAAGAATATAACAGATAGGCTGAAAGTCTCCAGCTCTTGGTAGTATCTGTGTACAAATGAGCATACCTTAACACTTCCAGCTGAACTTTGCAACTTTACTCCCAACCTATTATTGCCTGGAGCTCCACCTCTCCTCCTCTCCCATTGCTCCCTCTCCTGTTTTTAAACCAGACACAAAGTGAGTCTTCCGTGGTCTCATTTGCTGTCCAGACTGTTAACTGTCCCATTGCTCCTGCTCTTCTCTCAGTTGTTACTATCACGCACAGTTTGACGTGCTACCTTCCTTCCGCTCCTGCCTGACACTCTGCTCTGAACACTCAGTGCTGCTGCGGCCGCCTCTGGGATGTTGCCTGAATTTCTGCTGTAGCTTTACACTGATTACCTTTCCTCTGCAAGTTGGAATACTGAGTTTCTTCCACTGAGGTCTAGTTTTCTAGAGAGGCTGAACAGAGTAATGGCATATCTATTTTTATTAGTAAACATAAGCCTTTTATTCCCAGAGTGCTTACATACCAGTAGATTGATTGAGTTTTAGTGATTTCAAGTAATGGCCATTCAGTTCCCTGGAAACCACCATTTCCATGGATCGCCACCTGTTGCTGGCTCTTGTGGCTTTTTTCCTCATGGGGTCTCAGATTCTCCTTGCATCAAGCAGGCTTGACTCTATTGTCTTAACCCCAAATCAGGGTCACCTTTAGATCCCTTCCCTGGCCTTAACCCCTGCATAAACCAGTGAATGCAAACAGATACATAAAGAAGTCCATGGACAGGACGCAAATTTTCAGTCCTACCTGCAGGACTCGTTTGAAGAACACAAGTCCTGCTTAGGCACCACGTTGTAGGTGGTATCACAGAGTGTAATAGTTAAAATACTTTGGGGCCACAGATGAAGGAAATCTCTATCTTATCTAAGGTGTTAGGTGTACATGTTTTGGTAGTAAAAATAACTTCAGTTGGATTTCACACCCCAATTTGACCAAGCTTGCTGGAATGGAAGTTGCTTCCTTAACACCAACTACTGTTTTTCCCCAAAAGGTCAGTTTGGAAATCTATAAAAGCTGCTTCACGAGCTGAAAACTTCTGATTGCCCCCATTCCTACTAGAATCAAATCAAGACAATTTTTGTTTGTTTAGAAGTTTGTATTTTATGTAAGATTTCATTTGAAAAACTGGCTCTTCTAATGATTGCTAACCATTCGCCTAGGACACTATTCAGAGCCATCGGCCAGGTTTGTTTCCAGGGCAGGACTGTAACTTAGGTGGCCAATCCTCTGCTTCTCCAGCCACTGGCTCCCTGCAGTGCATGACACTGCACCACCTGGAGAGAGTGTGCCCCATCCAAAGTCTTGTGACTGCTGCTGCTCTGAGATACCATGAAATACAAGACAAGACAGTACACAATATAACATAACACAACACAATACACAGTACAAAACACAATACAGTACAGTTTTGCCGGTAGAGCAGGCCCACCCTAATGGAGTATACACACATAGGTTTGTGGCCCAACGCACACAAAAAACAGATAACTTTTTTAACATTCTATTTCAAATGGTCTTATTTCTAATACTCTCTCTTTTTTTTTTTCAGAATAACATATATTCATTTAAAAATGTTGTCAAATAGACATAGTGAAAAAGAAAATGAAATCAACCATCCTCTTCACACACTAGGCAGGGGTGTCCAAACTTTTGGGGTCTCTGGGCCGCACTGGAAGAAGGAGAGTTGTCTTGGGCCACACTAAATACACTGCAACACGTAATCACACACACACACACACACACACACAAATCTCATAATGTTTTAAGTAAATATATGATTTTGTGTTGGGTTGCATTCATAGCCATCCTGGGCCATGTGTGGCTTATGGGTCACGGGTTGGACACTCCAGCACTAGAGATTTTTAACTGGTAGCATCTTGATGGGCATTCTTTACTTAAGAAAACCTATTTTGTAACTTCCTTTTTTTCTTTAACAAGATGTTGTGGATATCATTCTTGTTATTATGTCTTTTCCTGCCATGCCATTTTAATTGGTTGAATCATATTCCATACATTAATGAGCCATGGTTTATTAACTACTAATATAGTTGGTATATGGATAGTGCAGGTGGTCTGTGTTTAGGGGGACCCTGCGCTGTGTATGGGAGTCATAAGCCATTCTATGAGGTGACTAGCTGGGTAGAGGGTGGGGACAGAGAGAGTTATGTTAACAGCAGTTATGCCACTGGACGACAGCTGAATGGTATCAGGATGATGACCACAGAGTGTCCTCAGAAGACCCTGGGCATATGCACATGCCTCACTCTTTGGCAGCAATGCTTTCCAGAAGAAAAGGACTATTATGGACTGGCTGCACATGCAGGCAAATACACAAGGGGTCGTGGGGGATTGTACAAACAGGGTGACAAGATAGTTTGGCTACAATAGGGATTTCTGCAGAGTCAGGGACAACTTGCTAGAGGTGAGATCAACAAGCTATTTGAGTAGAAAACATCAGAGCTTTTCAGAGGAGTTGGTTTCCACTATCACATCAGTAAGAGGTGCCAGATATGATGTTGGCAGCATTAGGTTTTCAAATAAATCTGCTCGCAGTGGCCCTAGTCCAGTTCCTTCTGTGTAGTCTCCTTAATATCCAGAGACTTGGGCCAAGTGCTCTAGGACCTCAGCAACATAATGATTGTTTCTTTAGATTAAATGCCTAGATGTA